CCTCAGACTAACAATCTTCAAGGAACTGGATGTTGCCAAAAACTACCTGAATCTGGAAGAGGATCTTTCCTTCCCTGAGCCTCAGATGAAACCCCAACCCCTACTGAAACATTTTGCAGCCTTATTAGAGGTTCTGAAGCTGAAAACCCAGGCAAGCCACATTCACAGAGACTGAGATAACAAATGTGTCTTGCTTTACACCACTAAGTTTACGGTAATATTGTTACTTAGCAACTGATAATTAATACAGACAGATGAGAAACACAATATAATTAGAAAGCAAATTGAAGGCAACAGAATAATGAGTATGAGATAGGAAAGTTCAGGCAATCAAAGTAAAGGGAAGCTTACTATGGGATAAGGTTAGTTTTGAAACATTTCATAAAAAGGTCAATTGTGAGACCCATCATAAGTGTTTCAAAGGTTCAGATTGGCAGACAAGCAGAATGAACAGCACAGAGATTGAATCAACTGAATGTCACAGACAATAAAAATTCTCCTCTGAGGAAGACTGGATAGGTGAAACAGGTCCAGATTTTGGAATGCCAGAAAGGGTAGGGGCTTAGTGTGTTCATCTTTGATACTATAGACTGCAACAGGAAAGCAAAAGCTCTTGAACAAGGAAATGACAGAATAAAAGCACTGTTTTAAATAACTTAATCCTATCACAGTATAAAGGATGAAGCAGATTAGAGATAAGAAGACCAAGAATAGATATGCTAGCACAATAGTCTTCATGAGAGGCTAACAAACACGTATGTGTAGGGGAAGGTCCACTCATTAGTAATCAAGGACATGCCGAATTAAAAGTATAAAGCACCATTCTTTGGCTTATCAAAATAGTAAAGAATAAAAACTAATAATACTAGCAAAGATGAAGCAGTATCAGACACTGCTGGTGGGAAAATAAATTGAACAGTCTTTATGGAAAGCCATTCAACAATATGCATTAATAATCTTAAAATATTCAAATCTTCAAACTCAGTAATTTACTCCTTAGAGCACAGTGCTGAAGTAAATTATTTAACCCATGAAACAAGCATTGAACTGAGTGCCTGCTATGTTCCAGGTGTTGAAGCTGGCGCTGGACATACTGCTTCTTGGCACAGCACTTAGGAGAGACACACATATAACAAATTATCAAAAATAAATGCATAATTTTACATATTACAGAACACAATGGGAAAATACCTTTAAAAATCTAGTTTAAAGATTTCTCTGGAAGTAATATTTATACTGAGAGCTGAAGGATAAGTATACTTTAGCAACATGAAGAATGAGAAGATTTTTTTTAATTAAATTTTTTTTTCACTTATTGGTACTGGGGTTTGAACTCAGGACTTAATACTTGCTAGACAGGAGCTCTATCATTTAACTTCACATTCAGCCTTCCTTTGCTCCGCTTGTTTTGAGATAGGGTCTAACTTTTTGTCTGGGCTGACCTGAACCAAGACCCTCCGAGTTACAGTTCTCATCACAGCTGGGATGACAGGCACATGCCCCTAAGCCCAACTTTTTATGATGAGACAGAGTCTCACAAACTTTTTGCCTGGGTTGGTCTCAAACTATGATCCTCCCAATCTCAGCCTCTTGAATAGCTAGGATTACAGGTGTGAACCACTGTACTCAGCTTGGGAGGAATTTTTTGTTTTTCTAATAGAAGAAACAATACACATGAAGGCAAGAGAGAATTAGTTGTATTCAAGATTTTAGAGGAGTCATTCATTGACTTATTCTTTCTTACATGTATAGAGAGAGGTTTAAGTGAACCTCTGCATACTGCAATAGAGGCAAAGGATAAAGGATACGACAAAGAGATTAAGTGCAGACAGAGGCAATTGCAGACAAACAGGCATAAATACACTTAACTATGGAAGGTCCTGAAGTTCACAGTGAACCAAAGAAATTGAGGAAGTAAGTGTACAAGAAGGAAGCCAATGTTTAAGAAGGAGGAAAAACAGGACAGAATAAAGATAACAAACACAAACACTGCTGCTTTCTTATCACTTTCCAAATTGAAACATTATAAACTTATCTGAACAGTATGTTCAAAAATTACCAGTCATTAAAAATAATTACCATTTATAGACAGAAATAGTCAAGTGGGTTAGCACTACAAAGCTTACAATGAAGAAAAGATGAAACAGAGATCAATAATCATTTTGGGGGGTCAGTACTAGGGTTTGAACTAAGGCTTTCCCCTTGCTAGGCAGGTACTCTACCACTTGAGCTAAACCCCCAGCCCATTTTGCTTTAGTTATTTATCCATTGGGGTCTTGTGTTTATGCCCCAGACACCCTGAACCGAAATATACCTATTTATGCTCTCCATGTAACTAGGATGACAGACACATACCACTGCACGCAGCAGTGCTTGGACTGGACTGGAACCATGGCCCTCCCTATCTCTGCCCCCCAAGTAGCGAGGATTACAGTCATGAGCCACAGCACTAGGCTCTCAAATACACTTTCAACATGCATACGTGAGTTAAGGACTAATACTAGTTTGGAAACTATTTTCTCTACTGCCATACTTAAATGGCTCAAGTATGGGAAGCATTCAGAGAAAAGTGACCACTGTCTCAGCATGATATTCAAGTCCTTTGTATAAGAGACCAAAGGATACAAAGAATAATCTAAGGCTCTGAAATCTGCTCCACTAAGATTAATTGCAAAGAATGGCATTGATACAAACATTATGATGAGGATATGTTTGGAGCCATTAGCAAGTTTCAAAGCCAGCCTCAAAATGACTATAAATCATGTGAGTGGTAGATCTGAAAGAAGAGTGACCTTCCCTTCTTCTCCTCAATTCACTAAATGATAACATTCTACATTTTAAAGAATTAAGCAATATTTTATGGCATAGATGCTACCTAAAAAAATAAAAAATGTGGAACTCTATATAAAATTATTTAAAAATAAAAAGTAAACAAAAAATAGGAGTAGTCTTGCTATAAGAAATAAGATCTAAACTTTGTATAATTTCATGAGGCAATCATAAAGAAGAATAATTGATACAATCCTCCAAATTGTCAAGAGTCCAATTTTCACTTCTCTCAAGAGATGCAAGTGCACTGCACATCCATGTTTATTGCGGCACTATTCACAATAGCCAAGTTATGGAAACAGCCAAGATGCCCCAGCACTGACGAATGGATTAAGAAAATGTGGTATCTATACACAATGGAATTTTATGCAGCCATGAAGAAGAACGAAATGTTATCATTCGCTGGTAAATGGATGGAATTGGAGAACATCATTCTGAGTGAGATTAGCCTGGCCCAAAAGACCAAAAATCGTATGTTCTCCCTCATATGTGGACATTAGATCAAGGGCAAACACAACAAGGGGATTGGACTATGAGCACATGATAAAAGCCAGAGCACACAAGGGAGGGGTGAGGATAGGTAAGACACCTAAAAAACTAGCTAGCATTTGTTGCCCTTAACGCAGAGAAACTAAAGCAGATACCTTAAAAGCAACTGAGGCCAATAGGAAAAGGGGAACAGGTACTAGAGAAAAGGTGAGATCAAAAAGAATTAACCTAGAAGGTAACACCCACGCACAGGAAATCAATGTGAGTCAACTCCCTGTATAGCTATCCTTATCTCAACCAGCAAAAACCCTTGTTCCTTCCTATTATTGCTTATACTCTCTCTACAACAAAATTAGAAATAAGTGCAAAATAGTTTCTGCTGGGTATTGAGGAGGGGGAGAGGGAGGGAGTGGAGTGGGTGGTAAGGGAGGGGGTGGGGTGGGGGCAGGGGGGAGAAATGAACCAAGCCTTGTATGCACATATGAATAATAAAAGAAAAATGAAAAAAAAAAAAAAAGAGATGCAAGTGCATATCAAGGAAGAAGCTCACAGCCTGAGCTGGATATTCTATTGCCCAGAAGCCATGTGACCTTGACAAAGTCTCTTCAGCCTCTCTAAGCCTGTTTGACCTATCTCACAGGGTGGCACATTATATGCTTGTCAACTATGGCATGCTATACAGGTATTCATTATCGTTATTTAAGGTTTTGCTTTCTTGAACTATACTATCTCTCCTTCATTACAGGGAGGAATGTCTCTGAGAAATGATTAACTATTTGAACTTATTTAAGTTTGTGAAATTACCAAATTAATTTTATACAGAAGGGCCAAGATTGAACTAGCAGATTTATATAATGATAAATAGTTATTAAAAATTGTGTTCCTGAAAAATGCTTTCTATAACATAAAAATGTTTTTATCTGCACAGTCTTTTCCTATAAAGCATTATACTTATAGTCATGTCACCTTCAAGTTACTTTTGTTAATTCTAAAGACTTGCTTTGATACTTGAAATAATCTAATAAAGTCTGATATGCAGTTTGAACAATTATATTGCATTGTACTTAAAATATATTAGATGAAATACATTTTCCTCATAGATATTAAAAACAAAGTATTTCCTCTGAAGAAAAAAGGCAATTATATCAGGAATTTCTTGAAATCTAAAAGATGAATATGGAGAACCCAAAACAAATTTTACAGTCTGACAGGGAAAATGTATCTTTTATAAAATTGGAAAGTATTGTGTACTTATAAATGATACATCACAAAATGTTACTGTATAACTTTAATGTCTCAATATCCATTAATTATCATCCTGCGCTTCCCACCAAGTATAATCTTAGGAAGAAAAATATTCTGTTACTTCCTGGGTTAAAATTTAGAGCACATCCTAAAGGATAATGGAAAACAATATAAGAGCAACCCTCTCAAATCAAGACTTTACCCATTTACAACCTCAAGGAAGCTCATTTAACATAGCAGATAATTTTCTTTCCTAGAGAATGTATTTGTTGACTGAAAACAGGAATAATTCAAAAACAAAAATAAAAATCACCAACAAAAGTCATATAAAAATATTCAGTAGATATTATTGTTAAAGCAGTAAGAAAAGCAAGAATTTTCTCTATTCCTCCTCCAGTTTTCAGTGTTCATTCATCATTCAGCAACAGTCTACTCACTTCCGGTGGGTGTGGTCCATGCCACTGTTTGATATTGCTTCCAACTTTGCATTTCTCTGCCCACAGATATTTCCATAGCTGTCGTATCCTGACACTAGTCTCGCTGCTGCACCTGTTGCTACTGAAAAGCCACAAATAAATCCCTAGGAAAGAAACAGAAAAAAACACACAAATAAACCATTTCAATAGCAACAGTCACTACTTGATATGATAATGAGCTTCTTTTGTCTATTGAAGGGAACAAAGAGCTATCTTTCCTTATTACAAACACAATTCTACTGTTTTCCCTGCATTGCAGGGCAAAGAAATCCACAGGGAAGTATTATTTACTACCATAACAAAACCCAAGCTTCTACATCATAAGATGGCCTTTGCATTTTATAATATTGGCAGCTTTTCTATACTGAACACTTGCTCTGTGACAGGTTGTATACTAGATACTTATCATAAATTATCTCTAATCCTCATGATGAGGACACTGAGGCCCTGAGAGGTTAAATAAGCTACCTGAGGCCACAGAAGCTAGTAAAGATCAGAGCATAGGACAAAACCCAGCTGTCCTTAATCTTTAGTTTTATTTGGTTAAAATAAAGGGGTGTGTTAAATGAACAGAGGCAAAGGAAGAAGGAAAAAAATCGAAAAAACAATTGGTATGTGGGTTTTGAATCATTATCACTTCAGTGCACAAAACACTTTTGTCCTTCCTACAATACAGTTGTATACAAGCTAAAGACTTACATCATGAAGCACTACCAAGCTCTTAATACTGGAGACTGGATAGAGGAGTAAGCAAGGCTTCATGTACTGCAAAGGTCACTTCATTTCGTAAGACTATCCTTCATCTAGTACCAAAAGCAAATGGTAGATACCCGAGGACCACATCCTGCTTGCTAAGCACAAACTGACCAGGCAAAGCAGTAATCACAAGTTACTGGGCATAGGAATGGAAGTAAGATGAATCACTACTGATAAATGGGTTGTATCGGGGGAAAGACTGGGGTTAAGAAATATTGTACAACCTAAACATTTAAAGGGTGAGCTTTTGTAATCTTTTGTAAATGGCCAAGAAGGCAGAGATTATCACTGTTTAACTCATCATAGCCAACTATCACAAGTACTTCTTATCTTCTGTAGTGCTGCTAAATCTCAGGCTACAGTGTAAATACTGTACTTACAAACAAGTCCACAGAGAAAAGTATTTCCTCCGTAAGTATGCTTACCTAAAAAGCTAAATGAATTCTTTTTTCTAAGTAACTCTTCTACTTTCATTGTGCAAGTAAGGGAGGTAAAATATGAGAGCTTAGTTCTTAGATATTTCTTTCAACTACATTTTATGAGAAAGTAGTCTTAAGAGTACAGACCATATCGGATTTGCTATTCTCTAACTCTGATCTTGGCCAAGTTATTTCAACTTTCTTCCTCAATTTACTCACTTGTAAAATGGAAATAAATAGTATGTAGCTCATCAGGATGTGGTAAGGATTAAATGACACAATCTAGCATGATAAGAAATCTGCCTGGCACCATAGTAAGAGTACAAATAATAGCTATATTGATACTAGAAATGAGAACACACTATAAGGAAAACATCAGTCTTAGAGTCAGATAAACATGTTACAATGGAATACTGATGATTCCATTTTCTATTTATGTGACCTTGGACAAACTTGCTTAATCCTCTGTCTCAGTTTATCCCTTTATAAAATGTGACTAAAACCAATTTATGAAAAAGTTGGTGTAAGAATTGCATGAGAGGTAACACACATGCACAGGAAATTAATGTGAGTCAACTCCCTGTATAGCTAACCTTATCTCAACCAGCAAAAACACTTGTTCCTTCCTATTATTGCTTATACTCTCTCTTCAACAAATTAGAGATAAGGGCAAAATAGTTTCTGCCAGGTATTGAGGGGATGGGGGGGAGAGGGAGGGGGTGGGGTGGGTGGTAAGGGAGGGGGTGGGGGCAGGGGGGAGAAATGACCCAAGCCTTGTATGCACATATGAATAATAAAATAATAATAAAAAAAAAGAATTGCATGAGATAATACATGTAAAGTGTATGTCTAAATAAATGTTAGTAACCTGTTGTATCAAAGCAATAGCTAACTGCCAAGTCTAGGGTTAGGCATAGGTGGTCAGTACTTACTCATTCTCACTTCCCTGATGGCCCTCTCCCTCTCTCCTGATGCCCCCAAGGACACTATAGGATAATTCACCTCACCTCAACCCAATACTAAGACATGAGAAAAAAAATTAATCCTCTATATACGTATACATGTACAAATCAGCATATGCTTGAACCCAAAATTAGAAAAACCTACACTGAGTAAAAAACAAAGAGAAGTAAATATTAGGAGATTTAATGGATCAACTTTCTGCTATCATTTGGATTTGGAACTCTCCCAAAGACTCCTGTGTTAAAATGGACCCTAGCCCACCAATGCTATCAGGAGGTGGTGCAGCCTTTAAGAGGTGAACCTAGTGGGAAGTCTTTAGGTCATTGGGGGTATGCCCTTGAAGGGGTTTATGGGACTCTGGCCTCTTCCTGTTCCTCCTTCACTCCCCAGGAATGAAGTGAATGGTTTTGTTCTACCATGATGTGCCACCACAGGCCCAAAACCAATGGGGTCAAACAATCATGAACAGAAACCTCCAAAACTGTGAGTCAAACCTTTTCTTTTTAAAAGTTGATTATCTTAGGTATCTGTTATAGTAACTGAAGGCTAACACTCCTTCTAATACATTTCTTTAACAAGAAACATCCAGAATAATAAAGAGAATGGACTTAGCATTCAGAAAAACCTGGATGTAAACTCTTTCTCCACTTACTACCTGTGTGGTTTTGATCCAGTTACCTACTTAGATTTTGTTCCCACTTCGTCTCTAGCACAGACTAATGCTATCTATCTCACAGCATAAAGATGAGGACTAAATAAGATAACATATGTCCAAATCCTAACTGAATGTCTGCTACATGGAAGGCAATCAATAAATAGTAGCTGTTAGTAGTAAATTTGGATGGGAAAGTCAAACTGAAGAGGTTAACAATGGTAACTGGAAACTAACAAAAACCCCTTCAGTTCTCTTAGAACAAAAATTTCTAGGGGGAAGAAGTAAGATATAATGTCAGTAATTTTGTTACTACACAAAAATATTTTCAGACCACAAGTATAATCTTCTTTCACTACTACTCTAGAATAGCAAAGCTGTTACATAATTAAAGGGTTATGTTCTCCTTTCACTTCTTATAGGAATTTTTTCTTATGTTTGATAAATACGTAGTGTTACAGATTCCTTTAAACAGTTTCTGGTTTCCTTTTCTATTTTTAACAGTACTGTTGAACATGTGGATTTTTTCTTTATCATAAACTACCTCACATCACTCTGAGATGTGGCAGGGTATAAATTATAAATGTTACATACGTATGTTAAAATGGGACACTGACATATTTTCACATGGGTCACTTAAGCTTCTAGTAGCTTTCAGAAACATTAGAGTAGAGAGGGACAGGGGTGGGGGAGAATAGCAAGTTAATAAAACAGAGCTTCCCACACAATGGAAGTGCTGACCATGGGGAACTAGGCAAAATCTAATTAAAATTACAATCTTCTTAAAAAGAAAACTGCTAAATGCAGGATGTGATATAGTTTCAGAAATGAAAAAAAAATATATAGCACATGAAACCAAAACAAGATGAGAGAAACTTTGCAGCATGCACTCAATATTTAATGGCGCCACAGAGAGGGGAGGAAAAAGGCATCCAACAGAAGGAAATCACATTAATGAAGCAAATGAGGAGGAGGATGGGGGAAGCTTTTATAAACATGGATTAGAAAGCCATCACTAGAAAGAGCAAGCTTATTCGTATAGAAGAGAACCATGGCGAAAAATCTTAAGATGACTACACTACTCAAGTAATTTCAGGACTGCTCTTGTGAGAGACAAGAGGAACAAAAAAATCCACTCACAAACAGAAGGCAACTCAAATTAGATTATGGTGTACAGGCACAGTGGCTCATAGGCAAAACCTGGCAAGTAATGAGTATTGCCTAAACAGGAAAAAGACAACTTGCTAATTAAGGAACTATGTCATTCCCCCTTCATTTCACAAGGCCTAGTTATGCTTAAGTGAGAACTTTTGCTTAGCTTTACTCACTATTAGTCAAAAAATAGGACACAATTTTATTTTACAATCATATTTGAATTTCATACCTAGAACTTTTTTCCTAAGCAACTGAGCAAGGCCTTTTGGCCTTAGGGTTTTTTGGGGTGTTTTTTTGGTGGTGGGGGATAACAAAATCATGTGGGAGCAGTAGGAGGTAGTATATGAATATTTATTAAAAGGTTTTAAAATTTATAAAGGGGGGGAAACAAGTTATGGTTGCCGCTATGTTCCAGGAGTTAATGATAACTGAGTGTTGCAGTGCATGCCTGTAATCCCAGCACTCCAGAGGCTGAGGCAGGAAGGTAGAGGGTTTGAGGTCAGCCTCAGCTACATACTGAGTTTGAAGCCAGCGTGGGCTACAAAGTGACACTCTGTCTCAAACAAAAAACAAAAAAACTCCAAGAACAGCAATTTAAAAAAAAATAAAACAAAACATATCCTGTCTCTTTCACAAACAGCATGTCAATTACCATGTACCCCAAATCTCAATCAATGTTTGGGATCAATCTCTATTATCTGATTTTTAAAACCTTAATTTTGAGAATCTGTAGACAAGGAAGGCTGTTGAACCAGTGGATAAGGTGAAATTAGAAGGCTTGGTGCAAAGCCATATATACAAACAAACCAAAAACACGAATTTAGAGCTTTGACCAGTATGCCAAATTTCTGGAGTCCTTTAAAGTTTAATCAAATGCATTGCTCTAAGAAGGAGGAAGGTGATGGGAAAAAAGAATGAATGAAATCTAGGAAGCAGCTATTCAAATGCATTTATTGAGCATATATAAATCCAAGGATTTCCTTAAAAGACCCTGAATAACTGAAATGTCTCAAGACAGAAGAAAATAATGAGTCATTGGGAGGCAAAATCAGAGCAGCTCAGTTTCACGGAGAACAAGAGCAATGAAAGAAACACAGATGAAATACTGAGAACCAATCCTGGCTTTGTCACTGATACACCTTATGAGCCGAATTCTCTG